TGCTTTTAAGTCAGCTCCGGCTTCATTAGCGTCATCAGATTAAGCCAATTAAAAAATGTCCCCTGTCAGATTGGGGAGAGGGGGGGGAAGGGAGGGGAGGGTAGTTACAGGGGAGGTGAGCAAGTAGGCTGGTCTTGGGTGGAGGCGGAAACAAATGTTCAAACATTCTTTCACCCTGATGCATCCGTTCACCTAGCAGTAAATAGGAACCTGGGAGGGGGAGAGAAGGGTGTGGGGGAGGGGGGAGAGAAGGGTGTGGGGGAGGGGGGAGAGAAGGGTGTGGGGGAGGGGGGAGAGAAGGGTGTGGGGGAGGGGGGAGAGAAGGGTGTGGGGGAGGGGGGAGAGAAGGGTGTGGGGGAGGGGGGAGAGAAGGGTGTGGGGGAGGGGGGAGAGAGAGCAAGGGTCACGATATCGGTGATAACCAGTATCTAACACCGGCAAATGTTAATTAATTTCCAGACCCTTAAAGGTGTCTTGTTCCCCCAAGCCGGGGTCACCAGGGCAATAAAGGTCAGTAATTATACCATTACTATTGTATTATCGTCCCTATTGTAGTATTATCGTCATGGAGTTCTGTAGCACAGTGGTCTACGTCCTCGACTCTCAACCGATCGACCCGGGTTTAATAAGACGGCTGGACACGGTTTCGTTCACCTGATACCTCTGTTTACCTAGCAGCAAAATAGGTACCGGGGAATTAGGTAGCAGTTGGGGGTTGCCTCCTGGGGAAGGGTCAGTAAGTAGTAGGCCTATGGGGAACCTCAATAAGCCTAAGTTATTCGCTTCCATACCCCGATAACGAGAATCATGGAATAGTCATCCCCATTGATCACCATCAATCATCATTAATCACCATCAATCACCATCCATCATCATCAATCACCATAAATCACCATCCATCATCATCAATCACCATCAATCACCACAAATCACTATAAATCACCATAAATCACTATAAATCACCATAAAGGAAACACAAGGAAATGGAAGCGGCTCGCCAATTTGACATACTGTCTGGTTTTCTGTCCTTGGGTCAACCGGTAGGTTAGGTTAGGGCACTTTAATACGACAGTTTTTCCAGGTTGGGAACGTTCACGAGAACGGGCTGAACCAGAACCGTCAATAATACGGTGCTTAAATGTTTACTAATACGTCTTTTTTTTCCTCCTCCTGAATGTCAACTTCCGTCGGCTGACTCCACCTGTCATCCCCGCGTTAACTAACTCCACCTAAACCATAACAACCAAATTGCTCCACTACCCCAGCCCACACGGCTATGAATCAGGGCCCGGCCACACTGAGCCCCCAGCCCCAGCTCGCCACAGCTGTTCAGCACCAAAGTTTGGTGTATTGAGCGTCCCGGGAACCTTGCCATAATGGCAACCATTATACGCACATGGCAATTACCCTACCAGCGCCCACCGGCTGGCGACCTACAGTCGAAAGTTGCAAATAGGCAGGAAAGTCCCTGCCATTATTCCTATCCCTTTACCCCTATGCTTTAAACCCTAATTCCTGTGCCTTATACAATTATCCCCATGACTCATACCATAATCCCTGTATCTTGTACAGTAATCCCTGTGTCATATACCAATATCCCATTTGTTTCTGCCTGGTCCGGGAATCGAACCCGCGCCACAGAATTACGAGTCCTGCGCGCTATCCACCAGGCTACCAGGCCCCTACCTGTGTGTGTGTGTGTGTGTGTGTGTGTGTGTGTGTGTGTGTGTGTATGTGTGTGTGTGTGTATGTGTGTGTGTGTGAGTGTGTGTGTGTGTGTATGTGTATGTGTGTGTGTGTATGTGTGTGTGTGTGTGTGTGTGTGTGTGTGTGTGTGTGTGTGTGTGTGTGTGTGTGTGAGTAATTATCAACAAGGGTCTTAATGGCCTATTCGGCAATTTCGATATCGCACTAATTAATAATTAGAGGATTCAATTACATCTTCTGGTTCAAACGTCAAGCGGACTGCATTCCTCTCCCCGGCAATTACGTAAAATGCCTCGATATCAAGACCCGGATGGATCAGGCATTTATGCTCCATACCAAACCTGTACCATCCAGGGGGCCAGATTCACGAAGCAGTTACGCAAGCACTTACGAACCTCAACATCTTTTCTCAATCTTTGGCGGCTTTGTTTACAATTATTAAACAGTTAATGAGCTCCGAAGCACCAGGAGGCTGTTTATAACAATAACAACAGTTGAATGGGAAGTTTTCATGCTTGTAAACTGTTTAATAAATGTAACCCAAGCCGTCAAAGACTGAGGAAAGATGTACACGTTCGTAAGTGCTTGCGTAACTGCTTCGTGAATCTGGCCCTTGTGTCTTACTATGCTGTTGTGGGTATCTGTATGTGGTTTATTCTTGTATTATAAGCATTTCGAACGATGCTTTTGTGCTGTTGAAGGTGGTGTGAACAATGATTTTGTTAATGTTGAGTCGGGTGAAAGCCGCAGACAGCGCGTCAACACCATCCAGAGCTCAGAGAGAGAGAGATAGAGATAGAGAGAGACAGACACCATCTACTGAACGTGATACACTGTGGCTAACGTTAGGTTAAGCTGTAGTGTGTGTTATGCCTTGAGAGGGGGAGAGGGGGGGGAGAGAGGAGAAGAGAAGGAGGGGGGTGAGAGGGGAAGAGAGGGGGGAGGGTGAGAGGGGAGGGTGAGAGGGGAATAGGGGAGGGTGAGAGGGGAATAGGGGGGGGTGAGGGGGGAGGGTGAGAGGGGAATAAAGGGGGGGTTAGAGGGAAAGAAACGGGGGAGTGAGAGGGGAAGAGAAAGGGGTGGGGTGAGAGTGGGAGAGGAGAACAGTAAGTGGAAGAGGGAGTGTGTGAGAGGGCAGAATAGCGACAATGGGAGAGTTGGGGAAGAGGAGTGGACGAGTGATGGGGAAACAGAGGAGCAGGAAGAGAGCATGGGGACAGGAGGGGGGAAGAGAGAATGGAGGAGAAGGTAGGGAGAGAGAGAGAAGGAAGAGAAGGGAGAGTGAGAGATGAAACCAATAAACTGGGAACCGTTCAAGTTAAAGATGAAGACATAGTAAAATATGCAAAAAAAAGTACTCAAGTGAAAACAAGAGCTGTCAGGTGGGAATAAAAATGGATGAAATGGGGAAAATAGGACAAGAGGAGAAACAGGGATGTAATAATGGGGAATAAGAATATAAGAAGAAAAATAAGGATGATATAGGACAAAATAGGGTCTATAATAGCATTTTTTTTTATTTAATTGGGGGACAGGTCTGCAAGAGAGGGAAACAGTTAAGAAATATGATAAACAATAAAGACGTAATAAGGGAAAAAATAAGGGTGTAATAAAGGAAAAATAAGAACGTAATAAGGGGGAAAATAAGAACGTAATAAGGGGGAAAATAAGAACGTAATAAGGGAAAAAATAAATAAGGACGTAAAAAACAAAATGATGTAACAGGACAAAAAAGGAAAGAAAGAAAAAGTAGTCATGAAAAAGTGGCCACCAACCAAAAAATATATATATTTTGCCCCCCCCCCCCCAGCCACACACACACCTGGAAGAAAGTAATTTATTATGATGGAAAACGGTGTAAATGAATTAATATGGGGGAGAAACACATCTGGTTCGCTTTAAGAAAATAAAACTTGTTAAAATGAAATATATTCTTCCATGAATTTTTTTTTGGGGTGGGGGTTGAGGGGGGGGGTGGATGTGGAGGGGGGGGGAAAGGGTAATGGGGAATTAATTAATTATTTAATTAATTAATTAAAGCCTGCTTCTAGTGTATTTAGGGTGTCTCAATATAATTTGGGAAGAGTGTGTATGCGAACATCAACAGTTTAAGTGACCTATCAACCCGGTCTGGTCAGAGACCGTGCCGCACCAAAACCGATCCACGGAACCACTACAAGTAGGTACTGTAACGAGCTGTATGTTACTGTATATATATATATTAAGGTTGTGTATCTCATTTAACATCAGTTTATGATGATAATATAATGTAACATGGAGAGGTATTTGGTAGTGCCCAGAATACTCTAGACCTCACTCTCCACCCCAGCTCCACCCTTCCCTCTTATTTTTCCCCCATATCACCCTCTTTCCCCCCTCTACTGCCTCTCCTCCCCCCTTCTTCACTCCCTCTGCCCACCCCACATCACCCTCTTCAGTCCCTCTATCACCCCCCCCATCACCCTCTCCCCCCCTCTGATCTGCCAGGGCTCCCCCTGCTCCCTCCACTCCACCCTCTTTCCTTCAATTTAGAAGACAGACAGACATATCATTTAAATATATAACAGCGGTCTTTTTCGCTCCTCTTTCCACCCTTCCCCCTTTCTCTCCCACTCTTCAACCCATCTTCCCTTTAACCCTTGGACTGGACGGTAGAGTGATGGTCTCACTTCATTCAAGTCGGCGTTCAGTTACTAACTACCCAAGTGGTTGGGCACCATTCTCCATTCCTTCCCTCCATTCCATCCCAAATCCTTATCCAGACCCCATATAATAGTAGTAATGGCTTGACGCTTTTTCCTG